GCCACTGTAGGTGATACTTGGCTAAAAACAGGGTAGCTCATAAGCAGAGAATTCATAAGAACCTTTTGGTTATAAAATAAATAAATATCATGTTTGCTTATGAATTTACATCAAAGTGTGTGACAGACTTATAAAAATTAATGCATTGATATTCGCTTATGACAATGCATCTTTAAGTATTTAAAAGTGTATTTATATTATTACGCCCAGCGAGTGGAACTAATGATGGAACGGTTCACTAATTCGAGCTACCGTACTACGTTCACTTTGTGGAATGTATGTATGTATGTACATTGGTACAAATGTCAGAAACCATAAACCGCGAATTTATACAATGGAAAAACGTACACATACACATGATACATAGATACAAGGCAAGAACGATAGAATACAAGATTGCGCATTCCCGCAGAATGACATTTGTGGCAACGGGTAAACAAAGAATATGGCGAAGAACAATGAGTTGACAGTTTTGAATTTGCAGTGAGAAAACGTGTTTTCTTCACGATTCACCAATTTCTCAAGCCATCTTTGAATATGGCAAATTAAGCACAACGTTAACAAAAAATATACAACCACTCTTGAAATGCGTTCAAAAGAATAGGTCTTATTTATTAACTATTTAGTGTTTGTATTGCAAGTGCCGAAAAAGTGATATCTTGTCGCAGCGCATGTTTTCCTGCAGAAAGTGGTCGATGCTTGCTTACCTCCGACTTTAATTTGTAATTTGTAGTATTTCAACGTTTTCCTTACGCTGGTGTCTAAATTGTATGGCTTCTCCTGCCGGCAGAACTCTACCCACTTTCTGGTCAAGGCGTCGTCGCGGGAAACAAAAAAAACTGCATTTGGGGCCTTTGCCCCTACGGCTGCTGCAATTCAACACACGACACGACATTTTTATAAAGTTTTTATTACAAATAAAACGTATTTTAATTCAGAATGCACGAATTACTTCGGTTTTTCACTTGAAAGTACACAATACGTTTGCAATACGTTTGCACTTGTTTATAAACAAAAAGTTTGTTTACGTATTGCCATAAACGTCAAAGTCGGCAAAACCAAAGTAGCGGTTTCGGGAATGCGCCACCTTCAGTTCATTACACCATGAGGTGAAACGATATTCTTTCATTGCAAAAAATGTCAGAATGAATTCAATGGAAATCCGTATACATACACGGCGAATTCATATTTCTTTCAATTATACTATTGTTCTGGCATGCGGCGGTTGCATAATCTTAAGGTTAGGTGAGTATGCGTATTATATAGCTATGTTTGAATGTAATTTGTTCTTAATTACGGGAGGTTGCTTGGGGTATTTTATATTGGCGTTATTTTCCAGCAAATAAAAAAATTACTGATTCCAAGGAATCGACGGATTTGGGGAAAATTTTAGTAGACGGACGGCAAATTCTAGAAAAGGGGGGGCTTAGGGGGGTAGAATAGGGCCTCCTGATTTCAAAAAAAAACTTTTTCTAGCAACCCTATAGTTCTTATATAATTTATTGTTAAAGTTTTCATATAAACGATGAATAAGATAGCAAACTAACATACAACTTGGTGCTACCAGACTGGAATTTTGAATAATAAAAGCGGATTTTTAATTCGGAATTTTCATTTAGTAGAATTCTCATTTCTGTTTTGCGAAGAAAAGGAGCTGAACACCGTTTGTAGAGAACGCCTTTCTGCGAAGGCGGCCTTCGGCCGCACTTAGGGATTATAACCCTCAGGCAGTAGAATTTTCCTTTCTGTTTTGCGAAGAAAAGGAGCTGAACACCGTTTGCAGAGAACACCTTTCTGCGTAGGCGGCCTTCGGCCGCACTTAGAGATTATAACCCTCAGGCAGTAGAATTCTCCTTTCTGTTTTGCGAAAAAAAGGAGCTGAACACCTTTTGCAGAGAACACCTTTCTACGTAGGCGGCCTTCGGCAGCACTCAGGGATTGTGACCCTCAGGCAGTAGAATTCTCCTTTCTGTTTTGCGAGGAAAAGGAGCTGAACACCTTTTGCAGAGAACACCTTTCAACGAAGGCGGCCTTCGGCCGCACTTAGGGATTATAACCCTCAGGCAGTAGAATTCTCATTTCTGTTTTGCGAAGAAAAGGAGCTGAACACTGTTTGCAGAGAACACCTTTCTGCGTAGGCGGCCTTCGGCCGCACGTAGGGATTATAACCCTCAGGCAGTAGAACTCTCCTTTCTGTTTTGCGAAGAAAAGGAGCTGAACACCTTTTGCAGAGAACACTTTTCTACGGAGGCGGCCTTCGGCCGCACTTAGGGATTATAACCCTCAGGAAGTAGAATTCTCCTTTCTGTTTTGCGAAGAAAAGGAGCTGAACACCGTTTGCAGAGAACACCTTTCTGCGTAGGCGGCCTTCGGCCGCACTTAGGGATTATAACTCTCAGGCAGTAGAATTCTCCTTTCTGTTTTGCGAAGAAAAGGAGCTGAACACCTTTTGCAGAGAACACCCAATGAACGTAAATCTATAAGTGCTCATTTACACACGGCCGCAGCTCGACGTTTGTAGGAGAGAGCGTGACGAGGAAAGGAGAGGGGCACCGAGTTGCTCGTGCTCGGGCAACACGCTTTGTGCTCTCGTTCGTCTGTGTAAATTGAGTTAGCGATTCACAGCTGACAACAACAATTGCATACACAAAAAGCGTCATGTGTAAATGAAAGTAGCAACACCAAAAGGGAATGTGAAAAATCGCGTCGACAAAAGTTTCCGTGTATAAACGCAGTCTAAGAGGAGACAACACGTTATAATTGTAGCGAGTGTGAACATCAGGAGCGGGCCTTCTCTTTTCATCCAATCTAGAAACGTATTTGGGGAAAAGAGAAGGCACGCTCCTGATGTTCACACTCGCTACAATTATAACGTGTTGTCTCTTCTTATAGATTTACGTTCTTTGGAACACCTTTCTGCGTAGGCGGCCTTCGACCGAACTTAAAGCAAACAAATCGGGCGGGACCAACACCGCCTACGTCATGGGCGATATTTTTGCACAGGGGTTCGTGACTGGAAACCCTCATTGATAATAATACACGCCCAGAATAAAAGTAGCGGTAAATTTTCATTTTCTTTTGTATTGATTTCCCCTGTATTCCTTTTTAAACATTGCCTTCTTTGTATGTATTGTTTTGTACAATATGGCAACACATGTTATATATCAGTTTGAAACCATGTGTTATTGTAAATATGGGTGCAATTCAATGTAATTTACGAGTCGATAAAAGTTGAATTAAAGTGATTTATAAACAAAATAAAGTAAAATAAAAGTGTGTAAAGTATTAAGTACAGTGTTATGTGCATTTATATATATGAAAGTATGTGACAAATGCACTTTTTGTTAAGGAAACCAAGTGGAACGACTTAAGAAGTTTTAACAACAACATACATGTTAGAAGATACCTCCCTTAACATCTTGACCAAGTTTCATTTGTTAATTCCACCTGGTTTTCTTAAAACACAAGGTGCGGTTGACTACTAAAGCCCACCCCGGATTTGTGCTCAGAACTTCGTACACTGTATAGGGAGAAAGATTTTTACCTATTTTGGCCAGCAAAAATATGTTATTTAGGCCAGCACAAAATATGCTATTTTAGCAAGCAAAAAATATGCTATTTTAGCCAGCAAAAAATATGCGATGCAGGGATTAATTGCTGGAAGAACCATGTATCGAATGAGTATAATGGCGCGTATTCATAGTCCAGCAACTAAGTGGAAACTAACAAAGTTGCAACTTAAATTTAAGTACCAACTTAAAATCTACCTCTATTCATAGTCGCATTTCAGACTTCTACTAAGTAGTTTCGACTTAGTTTACGATATAGTAAAACGAGTGTGAAAATGTTTCGATTTTTCTTTACGATATTTTGGAAAAATTACATTTTTATTAAAT